CTTCAAAATCTTTTCACTGTAGGTTAGTATAGGAATAAGGCAAGCGTGTCATTTATTTCTGAGCAGCTTGATTGTGATTATAAATCTATGCTGATGAAAAAAAATGCCATTAAACCTTATATCTGATTTCAGCATTGGAACATCCCAAACTCAAGCACAGTATATATTAATTTTTTAGTAAATATAATGTCATATGCTATATGTCATTGCATAAAATCTAAAGCAGAGATAGAAGTGGAGGGCACAAGCCAGTAGTAGTCACTTTAAAGATACAAATCTTGGTTCTAAGGGGATAATATTGTTTGGGAAAATGTATCATAATAAATGCTTTGAGAACTGATACTGGAAAAAGGAGAAATCTTCCCTAACCTGCTAGTTTTCTGTTTTGTCATTCCAACCACGTTCTGCAAAATTATTTGTTTCAATATTAGACTGATGTTAGTCTTTGATTGCCAGCAGTAAATTATTCTCCATTCATTCCTTTCAGAAAACAGAACAGAAAGAGATGCGCATAAAATAGCAAATTTCAGAGTCGTTCACAAAGAGGTAGTTTTGATTGAACATATTTAGTGACACTGAAAAATATTTATGAATAAACTAAAATTTCCTTGTAAGATCAAAGCTTCTATTAGTGGATGTGTCTGAAGTGTTCCTACTTCCTACCTTGGGAATAGAAAAATGAAAGTTACTAATAGGTGTTTGTGTTTGACATCTGTATACTGTACTTTTTAGCATATCTCAAGTGTTTTAGTCTCTGCCTAATAGATCTCATTAAAAGAACAGATATCAGCCCCGAGACAGTTTGTCAAAGTTAATATGAGTCCCCGTGGACAGAATTGACAATTTGTGTGTGGCTTCACGTGACGGTCTTTTCATGGTCTTGTTTGATCCTTTAACAATCGGACATTAGTCACTGATTTGTTTTACAGTAACTCAATAGGATTGAACGTTACCGTGTTATGCTGGATGCTTTCGAGGGTTTTCTTGTTTTGCACATTTTTTTTGTAGCACACAGTAAATGATGTACTTGGTCTGCCGTGGGAGCTCTAACAATTGATGGGTTTGCTTTAAGAGCAGCATGGGAAGGATGTTTGTATCCCGTGGCTGTGTGCTGTGTCTAACTTGAACCTTAATGAGCAGTGGCTGTCCTGGATGCTTAAGTAATCCTAAATGCTTAGCCAGCCGTACACTTGGTTTAGTTCTGCAAGAAGTAAAGGCTGATGTTTAAATACCCAAACAAACAAAAAGCCTCACCAACCCCCCTCCTTTTTATAGCGGAATGGTTATGCAATTCCAACTTTTTCATTTCTCAGATGGTTTCTTAAGGAGGGCCCATACCTTTATAGTAGATACCTGGCTACAAAGTGCACCACATGGACTGGTTTGGTCCATTGTGTTCTCTTCCTTGACAGTCTTATTTTTTAATTGTTATACAAGCTGTTAATTATTGTTTCTTCATTGATTGTCTCATAGCATAAGCACTTCCCTCCAACCAAGAGCTTAACTGTGAACCTGAAATGTCAGGCAGGCTTATTTAGCCTTTGAATTTGTGTGCTGTCTTTGGTCTGTCCTTCGGGGTACTGATGCTGACGTAGCCGTTTTTCATGAGGCCCTTTTATTTGTGATTTGGCAACTAAGAAAGTTGATTTTAAATGGCCTAATAAGAAAAAAAAAATCTACTTTCCATCTGTACAAATTACAAGTGTAAAATAATTTCAAACTTGAATAAGAGAAGTAAATTCAGGATGACTCCAAAGCCATTCCTTGAGAAGGCAAAAAGTGTCTTTTAGTTTTGCTTTTTTAGAAAAAAAAATTGCATTTATACATATGGTAATCTAAGGAGATTGCAGTGATATTCCTCTAGTTATTAATGTCAAAATGCTTTCTAAGGATAAGACAACTCATTAAAAATCTAGATATTGTAGAAAAGGAAAATATGAACAACTTATACACAGAATATATATACATATGTATGTGTGTGTATATATATATAAAATCCCAAGTTCATTAACACTGTTTTACTTGGCATTAAATAGTTATAATGATAACAGTAAGTATGTTCTAGGGTTAATTTTTTTTAGCAAGATAGCATGAAAATTAATTCTTATCATTGTCATTTACTGAGCCCTGTAGAATTTTATGGCTGCACATTGCAGTATTATGGACACTCATGAGACTCCTGACTGGTTTTATCTTATTAAACAATTTTGAAATCATTAATTTTTAATTGACTTGCTTGTGGTTTTTTATAGTTTTAATTGTATGTCTGTGTCTAAATATTGGGTGGGTTTTTTTAAATTAAAAAGAAGGAAAAAATTAAAAACAGAAAGAAAAAGTCCTGTCTAAGCATATATGTTATAAGGTATTGTTATATGAATATCCAAAGAGATACTATACTGTGTGGTAATTCATTTTAAAGGATGCTTTCAGCAATTCAGTATCCTAATAAAAGTAATAATAAAAAAAGAATGATATGATGTCTAAGATGTGTACAGGTCTTTTCTTGATTGAAAGTTCTAATTAAGTGAATCGAGGAAAATTAACTGAAATTAGCTGTCAGAAAGTCACATTTAAATGAGTGATGATCTGGTGTGGCAGTAAACATTTAAATGATATAAATTGCCATTTAAGTGTATGGTTTAATGTTTGTCATGCATTAATATGACATGAGACTGCAGTGACAATCAAGCAGCTTGCTCTAATTTGAACATATTTAGGGCTTTTGTGTGGAGTGCACCACACAAATTAAGACAATTGCTGGTTTTATGTGTCAATTTAAATGTTGTTTTCAGGCATCGGTTAATGAAACAAACCCATCATTTTTGTGTGCAAATTGCAGAGTGATTTGCCTGGTTTTCAGATTAATTTCAACTTCCTCTGCTCAAAATTAGGGATTTCCTTTGCAAGGAAAATGCCATTCATTTTGTTAGATGAAGAGAATATCAGTTTGTTATGTTGTTTCATTTGCTAATTCAAATAAGAACTGCATTGAACCCTCTGTATAAAATAGAAAAAGCAAATCCTGCTAGTGATTTAAACTAGATGAATTAACTCTTTAGATGACAATGACTTTAAGGTTACCTTTTAATATAGTTGTGCTGTATCTAATATCAGTATGGAGAGATTCTTTGTTTTTTGGATGCTTTTGTCTCTGGGATTGGGTTGTAACTGGATAACATCTTCAGAAAAGCAGCTTAATATTTCAGCATAGTGCTTCTGTATAGGTTTCTGTATATGTTTGTAGAAGAGATGTATACAAGAAATGCATAGAAGTGATAGCAGTTTGGTGTTCCAACATGTTAAATAATTTGTACCCTAACATCCCTTGTTAGTTCCATTTCCCCAAATATATACATCTTCTCTGTGGCTGTCAGAAGCAGATAACTATGCTGTTATTATTCACCATGCAGATCACAGAGAAAAGCACAATTTCATTTTGAGAGTTCATAAAAACATAGCCTAGCTGTCTATAAAGGCACCAATGCTTTCCACTTACTGCTTTTTTGCCTTATTCCCACTCTTACAGTTTAAAAAGCAAAGTCTCCTGGTTAGTGGGAAGAATGGAATGAGACACAGGCATCTCTTACAGGACCTGCCTTTTGTTTGGATAGAATGTCTAAAATACTCTTAGCAATTCTGTATTGTTACAGAATGATAGTTGTTAAGGTAATTTTGTATGCTATTTAAAAAAAATAGTTTCTGTGATTGTGATCACCAGCTGATGACTATCAGGCAAACTCATGTTTATGTTTTGTGTGTGTTTTTTTTACAGGCATTAGAAAGTGAGTTTGTTTCCTGCCAGCTTCACCAGTGGATTGACCTGATTTTTGGCTACAAACAGCAAGGGCCAGAGGCTGTTAGGTCACTGAATGTATTCTACTATTTAACTTACGAAGGAGCTGTTAATTTAAGTTCAATAACGGATTCCGTATTGAGAGAGGTAAGTTGGTACTTTAAATATAGAAAAGAAAAAAAATCTTCATGAGCCACTGCAGTGTTGAAAATTTAAAGATTCTACTTTGTTCAAGGCTCCTGGTGAATGTTCACTTTCTTTGCATTCTCTTGTGGTTTGGCTACAGGCCGATCAAATGCAAGGTACCTTAACCAATTGTCACAGCATGCAGAATTAACAGAACAAGCATGCAAGTTGCTCTTGCACTCTGGGCACCTGGATTCAGCCCAGACTGGGTACCAATATAAAAATAAATGTTCAAGGATTGCCTCAGTTGTTGAGATCAGTCATTTTGTTCCCTAATACTGGATCTTAGTGGCAAAAGACAGTGAGCAACCTTGATTTGGCTTGCACTTCTGAATTTACTTCTGTGCTTTTAACAGTTCTCTTTAAGCGCAATCTTGTACATGTAGTACACATCAAACACTATCGTTTTGCAGCTTCCAGTATTTTAATTTGGTTTACTATCAAACTAAAATACACTGTCCTGTGTTTTTCATCTGCAGAAGCAGATATTTAAACATTGGAAAGATCAGTAGTTTTATTTAGACTCAGCATCGTTCAGAAAATCTGTTTGCTAAAGTATCTCATAGGATATTGTGGGCTTAAAGAGTCCTTCCTCCTCCACCTAGACAGCTGTTGAAAAAAAGAGCAGGGTGGAGTGGGTGATTAAAACAGACTTTTATAGTTTTTTGTCCTCTGTTCAGACAATACACTGGTATCAATTATTGCTGCATATTAAATATATTAATTATAGAATAAATGTAAGTAGTACTTTGTTGTAAAATATTCTCAGTCCCTGAGAACAAAGTAATATGAATGCTATCAACTGTTTTATTTAAATAGGTGATTAGATGTTCACCAACAGAGAACATATGCATGAACTGAATGAAAACAAGAATGAATCCATTTCTGCTTACAAATGCTAGGTTTGCAGCTCATAGTAGGATTCTAGGTTAATCCTTACTGACGTTTTTTGTTATCTACTGCTTATTTAAAGAAAGTCTGAGCATAAGCAATAATGTTTTAAATAATACTATTTTTTCTGTACATATTGGCCATCTGACTGTGTGGGGCACCTTGCCAGCCTCTTAGAGAAAGTTATCTCATAGCAACACTGTGGGTTGTAGCTGGTTTGTGCGTACAGTGAGAAGCTTTGGGGGGTTTGCATGGCACGTGGGGTATGCAGGGACTGACTTAAGTACCGATGCAGTGTTGTCATTACTTGGGTTACCATCAGTCTGCAGACTGCATTTTGTTCTACTTAGAGCTAAAATACTTATGTTGCACATAAATACACTTAATTGAGCTAAGGAAAGGGGTACTGGGACACTTGGCTCATAAGAAAAAATGTCATCATCGGGGTCTGAAAAAGTTACTGACCTAGTACTAGAGTACTAGATGTTCACCCTGTCATGTTTTCATTTCACTGATAATGTTTTCCCACTTTACACTGACAAGGAATTAATCTTACCTTGTAAGAGTATTAGACTCTTGAAGTACTTCGTATAAATGTGAGCTGAAATATAGACTGGGTATTATGTGTAATTTATTCTTAATTTTGTTATGAAATAAATCATCATTGAACCATTGCTTCTGAAACTAATAATTAAAGTAATGCTAATCAAAATAGCAGTCTCCACACACAATTTTTTAAAAGTTTTTAATTTTTCTAGAACAGTTCTATTATTAGATGAACTGGGATCTATTCTACTTGTGTTGTAGCCTGAAAAAAAGTAACTTAAGACCATGGAAGTTGCAAATCTGTCTGGATATGTGGATCATCTCAGAGAGACATTCACTTTATTACCAGATATTTTGGATTTGTCATGTTTTTATTGTACTTTACTACAGTGTTTCTTTCTTTTGAGTTGCTCTGTGCTACCTGAGCTGAGTGGCATATAAAAATGAAAACAGGAGGGGGAGAATGGCAGTGTTGTTGAGTTCATAATAATGGAGTAGCTTAGCAGCAGCAGAATTTTGAAACACTACTGATGGTGTCAAATGAATGCAGGCAGCAAAACGAACAGTCTCTTGTCGTACTTTTGTTCTGAGTTGGTTGAATATTGGTCCAATAGAATACTTTTATTTATCATTTTTAAGCAGATCATTAAAACAGTTGAAGGATTCCTGTTTAGTTAGGTATCCCTTGCTATTTACATGTATTTTGTAAGGCTTATTTTTTATTATGTAAGCATGTATATGCAGTTTGAGATTTGAGTATGATCAGCCCTGATGGGATATTGACAGTGCAGAGATTTAATGGCTATCATCACCAGTGGGGACTTATTCTGCTTTTACTTATGGGTAGAGATGAAAGTAATGAAAAATCTGTTTGTGTGTATATGTATGTGCATAATCATTCTATATCTATGTGCTAAATGAATTTATCATGCACCTTTGACAGCATCACCTTCTTCCTGCTTGCTAATCCATCTCCCTGAGGACCTGCACTAACGTTCTGTACTGCCAAGCAGCTTCAATCAGCATTTATTTTTCTCCTTCAGTCAGCTTGCCAGAAAATACTTCGTCTTTGCTCCAGCAAATTCCTGGTTAGAGGCCAAATGAATTTCTGATCTGGGAAATTAGCAGTATTTTTAGGCAGGCAGGACACCTCAGATTTAGTACCTGTTTATTAGGCAAGTAATAAACTGGAAATTTTACTCTAGATTCCTTCATTTCAAAAAGGATGCTTTTGGTTTTTTCATCTTGATAAGATTCAGGGTTTGGGTCTTCAAATCTTGGGAGTTGTAGCAGAAAATGTATTTTTATTTGCAAACCTAAGCCAAGGAGAAACCTTTGTATGCTCTGAGGGCTGCAAGTTCTTGAGGCTTGTAGGTATCATGTGGAAAAAATAGCATGTGCTTAAACCATGCCTCTTTCCCCACATAGACAGTCAATGCTAAGCCTGGCCCTCATCAGTAATGAGAAGGCTATCTGATGCATGTGTTTCTGAAGTATCTTTGCAGATATTTGTATGGATATTGGTGACCTGACTTATCAAAGGGGCCACACACAGAACAATAGTGGAAGGAACTGAGGACTGGAGGGGTGTAGGTTAATGCAGAATTTCCTTAGGTCTCCTAAATGGCTCCAACTGGCACCTTTATTTTTATAGGCAGTCAGGTTATATATATTACAAGAAGGAAGTACTCGTCTAGGAAGGAAAACTACTTGATTAAAACCATATTCCACCTTTCTTTTTTTTTTTTTTTTAAACTGAAAATGTAGAACTTTTACATCCACTTATACTTCTATGAACAATTTTTTTCCTGCCATTCTTTCTGCCTATGGGAATAAAGGAAGTAAAGTATTCTGAAAGGATGACTGCCATAATAGAAAATCTTAAACTAAAATGCAAACCATGGGCCACATGCTACCTTTTGGCAGATAAACCGTGGGGAGCGCAAGGCTTGCATAATTCAAAGGCAAATCTCAAGGGGAGGGGAGTAGATCGAGAGAGAAGGGTTTGAGTCACAGCCAGGGGGGGAAGGGAGCTGCAGCCAGGAGAAGCAAGGCAAGAGATCCAGTATCTCTGCTGGCACTGCTCATCCCTGCAGAGGCCGTTCCTTCATCCTCCTCTTTTTCCCTCAAACCATTTTAGTAGCGTTGTCATTGACTCTCATCCTCGTACTTGAGTGTCCTACTTGAAGGAGGTTACAGCTGCAGAGGGAAGTTGCTGTTCAGTTGACAAGCAGTAACCATCTTTCCAGTGGAAAATACTGTATTTGCCAGCAGAGGTGTGCTGTATCTCTGCCTTCTGTTGACTTGCTCTTGAGCACCCTGTTTTGATCTGTGGAACTCCCAAACACAAGATCTGCTGTGGAAGGGCTCTTTTTGTTGCCTGTAGAAGAGGCAAGGAGGAGTCATGTAGCATAGATAAATGTCATCCTGCTGTTCTGGAGAGAATTCGCAGCACCTTCTTATCACGAATTCTGCTCTTTTTGCCATAGCTGTCCAAGAATGGAGGAAAACAAAAAAAAAAAAAGTAGAATTGTATCTAAGTCATTTGGACAAGCAACTGATTAGGAGCTGAAACACAATCTGTAGAAAATAATTTGCATCTTGGACTGATTTGTGGGTATTTCATCAGAGTCTCAGTCAGAAGAATAGAAATTTCTCTTGTCTCTGGCTTAGATTCACAAAGGATGTTTGTGAATCTGGGCTGCACGCAGAGTTACTAATTAGAAGTCCATTTCTCCACTGATACTCCTATGACACTCCTAGTGTAAACACTGGATAAGAGCAAAGAAAAGGGATGAAGTTAATACTGGGAAGACAAAATATTACCTGGAGAATGCATCATTGGTTTATACAGCGACCCCTGCACCTCAGGAAGCATTCTGAATTTTCTACCACACTTATCAAAAAGCACCTAACTGTATTTTAAAAAAAAAAAAAAAAAATTAACATAGCATCTGATATGATCTTTGAAGTCGGCAGTTATGGAAGAGTAATGATTTTTAAATTAGCAATAATAGCTCAGAAAACAGGAGAATTAAGTCCCATGCAGTTAATAAACTCCATCAGACGATCTGCTTTTTAGCCTTAGATGGTTCTGTTGTTTTCTACTTCTTCCTTTGAAGAGAAGGTGCCTTTTTGTTACATGAAGGTAGTCTGTTTAGCATTAGGAAGCACAGCTTTCTCCATTCTCTCGGCACCTTTCTTCCTCTTGCTGATATTTTATTTCCATATGAACTGAGGAGTTTCCAAAATTGTGAAGAATCAGCTTGGACATAGTATTTGGTATGTTATTTGAATGCGCCACTTCTGATTATATATAGAGAGAAAATAATTCTTTTATTTTCAGTTTTATCCCATATTTCAGGCATATGGGATAAATTATTTAATGGATAATAGCTTTTAAATGTTGCTCAAGATTAATATCTTTGGGTAAGTTTTATGCATCTTAGACCTATCTCTTATTAGTCTTATTTTATTTTTAAATATTTACAGTTTGAGAGACTTCTGTGCTTTCCAAAAGAAGT